TTTCAAAAAAAAATAATAATAAATAAAATAAACCGTTAGGACCGTTAATATTTCCGAAAAATATTGATCATATTTATTGTTTTATTTATACCATATCTCATTATAGCTCCTATTATATAATAAGATAATCAAAAAATATTATTTTAATTTTAATAGAAACGCGCGTATCTATGCCCAGAAACTTGGAAATTATATATGGATAGTTACTTGCAAGTTCGTCACGAGCACTTTCAATAATGTCACCTTGGGTTGTTTGGATATGACGTTCGGTAACTAAGGCATCAATTCTATCTTCGGTCAACTTAAGAAGACGGACGGGAGTCAAGTTGAGCGACTCAATTATATGAAAGTTTCTATCTTCGGGGTGGAGGCGCTCGACGCGTTGAATAAATTTCATTAAATCACTTTGACGCCAGGCATAAACGGTTTCGATAGGAGGTACAGAAAACATGTTGAAAGTTTTTATTTCTTTATTATTTATCGCTTGGGTAAAGAAGGTCGCAATAATAACGTTAGTTTTTTTTCTTGTCAGGGAAGTAATAAATCTCAAAAATCAACTCTTGCCATTTTTATTCCCCACAGCTAATTACTGATTAAGGCTACTAAACACATGCCATCGTTACGTATTTAGATTTAGCTGGAATGGGATTATGCAGATCATACACTATCGCTATTGATTAATAAAAAATTTAAAACTATGTCCATATATCTGTGTCCAAATGAAATTTTTATTGAACATATACATTGGTTAAATCATTTTCGTTCAATTAACACTTTTAAAAAAAAAACTTTTTCTTTGAATATAAAAATCAGCAAGTTTTGACAGATTTACGTGATGTATCAAGATCTTTATAAAGTATACAGTGCAAGACATTTATAAAGGTAAAAAGTGGTATTAAGTTATAATAAGGTGATGAGTATAATTATGCGATATCTCAAAACCCAGTGATCAGAATCGCGTGATTTTACCACAAGTCGATTCGTCTTAATGAGACGAACAACATATCGATATGA